TAAGGATCCTGGCTGGAGGCATGTCCAGTGCAGCCAGGGATAAACCCAAAAAAAGGCTTTTCTGAGCTCTGCTAATTGGCTTATTTAGAAAGCACCAAACTCAGGATGTCTCTCAAGGTGCTGTACAGGACTATAGCTACCTAGGTCAGAAAATGCCTAGTCATCTAAAGTCAGCTGGCACAACACCTCCCTTCAAAGAAGCATTTAAGTAGAGAATTATTCCTATGCTAACTAGCTGAGAGCTTAAATAAGGAATAGATTCTTTAACAGTTTTATGTGTTTGGCATGTAGTATTCCTACATCAGTGACCATAGAGGCAGTGTGGACCATGAGATTTTTGTGGTCTAGTTGCTGTACTTAGTGTTGCTTAACTCAAGGAAAAAAAACCACAAATGTAACTTAAGAGAACCATTACAATGAGGATATGCCTTTGGGGATGTTAGGCAGCTTTATTCACATACTTGCTTTATTTGAGTAGGATTTTCTGTATTTGTCATGCAATTTAAGGAGCAACTCTTAATCCTGGATCCTGGAAAACTTTTAGGCTGCAATACTCAAGCATGCAGTCTAAATAGAATTGTGTCTGTTCGCAGAGCACTACACATAACACTTAAGATCTGAGGTTCCACACACAAATCCAAAAAAAAAGCTAAAAAAAGCTAAAAGCTGAAACTCCACTGTGCTCCACTCTATGATAGCTTTATTCACAGATTCAGAAACATATTCCTACTAATTTTTAAGCTTTAAACATCTTTTGTTTTAGTTTTCCTAACTTAGCAATTGATATGATTTTGCTTGGAAACACTATCTCTTCAAATAGGAGTAGCTCATATTTAATGGCAATAGTTGATAAATTATAACTTGCCCAAAATACTATGCATGCTTCTGAAAGCTGGAATATTAATCTTTCTCCAGATGTGTCTAGAAATTAAATAGCATTTTTGAGATGCTAGATTTTTTTTTTAATAACTAAACTGAAGAGTCTATAATTTAGGACACATTATAACGTAATGTAATGTACCATACTGTACTGTATTATAATAAAAAAGAGACAGATTATCTGAAGTGCTATACTAACCATGAAGAAGAAATGCCTAAATTTTCAGAAGGCACACAATGCCCACCTAGTAACATGTTTAGTATATGACGTGATCTGTTACAGCCATAACTCTGCCATATAGTTATTTCAGACTTGCATGTTGGTTTATGTGTTGTTACAGAACTGGGGCAGGATGGTTCCCAAATTCAGTTTTGTGTATAATTTGTTGAAAAGATTGTAATTTACAGAAATGCACCTTCCTAGCATATACCAGAGAGATTTACATAAGTCCCTCATCACACAAGTTCCCCACTGTCCTCTCTTATTCAGAAATTATGCACTTTGTTACTAGCTACTATCACTGAGATCAAAACTCACCTCGGCTCAAATGCCCCAGCTCTTGGTATACAGCAATGAACACCAGTGATACAACTGGGATGTGACTCCTCAGAGGCAGAAATCTGTTTTCTCCTTAGTTAGCTCCACTGGCTGACACAGTGGGAGTGGGGGGAGCTAAAATTGTACCTGCTTATCAGCTCCTTATATCCATTCTTGCACCTAGAGGAAGAAAACAATAGATCTCTCATTTTCCTGTGCGGTAATTTATGAGGCTGATAATTGAAGGAATGGCAGTTCAGCCCTCCAGTAAAAAATCAAGCACAGCAGGAAGAGACACTATTCAAATTGAAAATATTGTCCTTTGTATCTGCCTGTACATTTGTTTTCAGGGATTCTAAACATTTTTGAATTCAGTTTAAATAATAATTGTTATGCTTCAATAACTCTTATCAATGCAGATTTCTTATCAGAAGGCTTTCATTTCAAGACTGTTCTTTGAAAAGATCTTATACCGAGACAGTATGTGAGAAAAGAAAGGTGAAGTCTCATCTTTAACCATTTGGAAATTTACAGAAGAAAGCTGGATATAAGATGAGTTGGTTGGGCACCTTGCTGGAATGATTTGGCTCTGCAAGAACAGCCTTTTTTCAAGACTACCTCCAAAAAATCCAGCATTCCTGTGTTACCACAACACCTCATTGCTCTAGAAGAGCCTTCTTCCTTCCCACTTCACTTTTTCTCCTGTAGTGATACACTGTAGTGTAGGGAGAATATGATGTATTTCCTTTCATTTTTAAAAAGTTACATATAAGAGACACCATGGGATTCCAAGTCCAAATACATATACACATTTATGTGAAATTCTTTACTCTTGCTCTTGGAAAAAAAATGACCCCTCACTGGGCCACTCTGTGATCTCAAGATAAACTAATGTTATGTTATGTTCTTGCTGTTGTTCCAAGTGCAGTGAGTTGGAACGATGAGGCACTCCCTAACTGTACCAGGAACTTGTGCCAGCTGGATACCAGACCTGTACAACCCAGAAGGTACTGGAGTCATATGGTTGGTGGGCAACACGAGAATCACCCAGCAGGAATTGTGGCCAGGGAAAATATTGACTAAAGCCAATCATCTTGCAGTCCTATGAATACTGGTCCTAAGTGAAGAGCCCCTTTGAGTTCTCTGGGACCACAGTGGGCTGTGATCTAGGATCTCCCCCTGCGGTGGGATGCCTCTCAGGGCAAGACTCCCCAAGGTTCACTGGTCAACCTCCATACGCACCGATGTAGAAAAAAGTGAGGAATTCACTTGAGGCCTGACAGTAGAGGCAGAAGAGGGTGAGTAATTCACCAAAAAAGTTCTTGAATGTGCAGCGGCATTTATAAATCCCCAATACCTTGTTGTATAGAAATACCTAATCCTTTGCCCTATAGAAATCCTGCAATCTCTTGCTATATGGAAACTGCTAATATCCTGCTATAAATATTGTGTGAGAATCTTGCCATTTACAAAGCAAGATGTATTTTAACTTTATTTATTAACTTTATCTTTAACTAAGCCACTGTTTTGATTGTAGCAAACCCTACTGAATTATTGTGTTAAATAGGCTAATGATTAACTGATGATTAAGTGCTACTGAAGTAAAAATCATACAGTCTAATTTGTGATTTGCCATAAAGGAATTAATAAATCTTATATCGCTGATACATCAGATCTGTGTAAATATTTCATCCACAACAAATCTTTATGACTACTTTTGAAGTAGTGAAGAAGTAGTGCCTAGTGTCCTTAATCACAAACCAGTCAAAATAAATATGTTACTTCGGTTTAAATATTCATCTAGGCTGGTGTTTTTTTCCTGCAATGCTGGTACCTCCTTTTCACATGTATTTTTGTACTCTGTTACAGCAAGAATTGCAGCCAAGTCCATACTTTAATTGTCTGTTTCAAACATTGCCCAGGTTTCAACAGCTGCCAGGGGTGGTAGATTTCACCTTTGCAGTGATAGTGACTCTGAATCAGATCCTATACAGGAGCTAATCATTGTGGCTGCATTTCATTTCACTGCCTTCTCTGAAGAATGGATGCTGGACCCAAGTGATACAGTGTGGACACGATATGGACCTATTAGAACAAGCCCAGAGGAGGGCCACAAAGATGGTCAAGGGTCTGGCTGGAGCATTTATCCTATAAAGACAGGCTGAGGGAGTTGGGGTTGTTCAGCCTGAAGAAGGCTTGGGGGAGACCTTACAGTGGCCTTTCAGTACCTAAAGGGGGCCTACTGGAAGGCTGGGGAGGGACTCTTTGTCCGGGAGTGCAGTGATAGTACAAGGAGCAATGACTTTAAACAACAGAAAAAATGATAGGTTTAGATTAGATATAAGGAAGAAATTCTATACTCAGAGGGTGGTGAGGCACTGGAACAGGTTGCGCAGAGAAGCCGGGGATGCCCCATCCCTGGAGGTGTTCAAGGCCAGGTTGATGGGGCTTTGAGCAACCAGGTCCAGTGTCCTTGGCCACAGCAGGGGGGTTGGAATTATATTATCTTTAAGGTCCCCTCCAACCCAAATCTTTCTATGATTCTATGATTCTATTTAAGTCCCTAAGTACATTTTCCGAATCTGGCTGCAATAGAATGTCCTTCACAGGAAACTGTTATTGTTGTTAGAAATGGCTCATTCTTCAAAGGTTTTATAAATACTGTTCCTGAAAAAGATGTATTTTCCCTGAGAAACAGGAAGAAGATGTCCAACACTAGCTTATATTTTCTTCAATTAGGTGATAGGTACATTGCTAAAACTCTCTCATTTAGCTGCAGAGTATTCTTACCACCTCACAGTGTGTGACACACACAGAATAATAACCAGCACCCAGAATAATGCAGAAGGGGATAAAAAGAAGATTGCACAGATGGGAGGTACCATTTTCACCGTTGCCTCTGGAGTGCATGACCTTTACATAGTTAAGTGATGGTGCCTGGAAACCTGAGAGCACTCTGAAAGCTACTAGGCTTCATCTTCCGGACTTTAATTTAAGTTTAATTCACAGTAGAAAGGATTTTCATTGTGAGGTGTCTATGTAGAACTTCAGGATTACAGCTGCCATGCCCTATAGTTATCATAGACACTAAACCCACACTTACCTTAATAGCTAAAATCTTTTTTTTTTTTTCTCTTTAGTTTTGTGCAATTGACAGAGTATTTTTTCAGCTCCTTTATAAGGATATACTTCTGATGTCACCTGTGTCTAGTACACCTCTCTGCCCTGTCATCTTGCAGCAAACTAGATCTTGCCCTTTTCAGAGATCTTTTCTGTCCTGTCAGCCTTTTCCCATGGCCATTCTCTTTCTTGCTGTTGTCTCAAAAGGCAACTTCTCTTTCCCTCCTGTGTAAAATATTGTTCAGGCTGCTGAGAGGAGGAGGAATTATGACAAAAAAGCTGCATTTTTTTGCTTCCAAATTAAGCAAGTCTTTGGAGAGCTGGCTGGGAGTATACGCTTCAGCTACGAAGGTGGAGGGGACTGTGTAAAGATATAGGCACAAACTGTGTGCTTCCTCCCCTATATGGAATTAGAGGTAGCAGTGTAAGTGTTGCTGCTCAGGACAGCAAGACGCTGCTGTTTGTACTTGTCAGCTGTTTGCCTGCCCCCCCTAAATGGAGACATGTGCCTTTCCCCATGTTGTTCCCACCCTCCCTCTCCCTCCCCCTGCATCTGAGTATTGCTCAGAAGTGGGCGAAAGAGGAATCCTTCTTTATGGTGTGAGTAATTTCCACTGTGTATTATGTACAAACATAGTTCCAAATTATTATGTAACAACTGAAAGTAAAAGAGAATGGAGGAGGGGGTGGAGCATTTGGTGCTGTCATTAGTGCAAACTTTACTGCGGCAACTTACTCCACAGCCTTTCCGAGACTTGTGAGTATATTACAAATTTTAACATCCCCTTGCTTTTTTTTTCTTCCTTTCTTGTATTAAAAGGATGAGGGAATTCATACTGTTTGGTTTCCAATTATTTAACATTTCTTAAAATTGTCTTGTAAGATTTGTCAGAAATGTAAAATATATAATTTAAGTATTATAGTTAACCTCCTACCTAGCGCCTGTTTCGCTGTTTCTGCTGTATGACAGACATAAGCAAGCATGGAAAATTGGTGCTAGCCTGTGAGATTTTGTCACAATTTTCTAACAAACTCACAATGCAAAAATGAGGAGAAAACAAGCTCTTCTGTAAGACTAGAGAACATAGCAAGGACAAAGATAAAAGGCTGGGAGATAAGTTATTTACCTTCTTAATGTATACCTTGAAAGAACATTAAATGTAGACAGGGAACTGAAAATTGCAGTCAAGTGGAATCCTATTGAAAACAGTGATACAGACACAACAGCTGATAGCAGTACACTGGGGAGGTATTAGCTGGTTAGTAAGCCAACTAAGTAAATGCATTAATGAGTCTGCTGTTAAAATAACTCCTTCTGCCTAATGAAATCAAAAGGAAGGAGGAAATGGACATTTGGGGGGGGACCTTGTGAAGGACTATATTTTTAAGACCTGCAAAATTACCTCTGTAAAACCCATCAACAGGAAACCCTCCTTAGTGTGCACAAACACAGCGATGATTTCTTCTGTATACAGCAAGAATATTTGTGCTACTTACCCTTAAAAGAGTCTGATATTGCAGAACAAGCTCCTGATTATAATTACTATAGCATGTTTTGCTATATTTTCCAAATAGTCAATAGCATAGCAATTCCTTTGCCCATTATGAACGTTTTTACTTCTATTTACATTTACCCATTAATTTGACATGTGCTAGATAAATGGAAAGATTTATCAACTATTTTATCTTGGAACAAGATACATAATTATAGATCAGCTTAGTATAAACAAATGATCTTTTTAAACAAATGGAGGCATCAAATCAAATCCTTTGGAGCATATTGTACTGTTCTAAACTCTAAGAATGTGTATGACTTTATAGCCTGTCACAATTACTCTGCAAACTCAATAAAGGTCACCTTACCCATCTCTTTGGAGTGTACGATTCTGTATCCTACTGCTTTGAAACTTTTTGAATTCCTTTGGGAAAAAAATATTATTCTCAGATCCATTCTAAGGCATCCCAGACCTTCACTGAAAATAGAGAGGGATTGCAGAGGACAGAGATACAAGCTGATGTGGAGTAATTAGGTAACATGAATAATATAATGCTAGATTTGTTTGGAGGAGTGAAAAGTCCCATCTCACATCAGCTTGCTACAGAAAAATACTTGGCTTTGCAAGAAGATAAACATCTTCCAGGCTGTGGCCAGTAATACATTAAATACAAACTTTTTACTGGCAGGTGCAGGATTCTCACAGCCAAATGTTTCCCTCCACTGTCCTCAGAGGGCTCAGCTTTATATAGCCAGCACAGAAAGGAGGAGAATAATCTGGGAATGGCTTGCAGAAGAATCAGGGAGAGGCTAGCAGAGGGTACCACATCCAGGAATCACTAGAGCACAACAGTTCAACCTCAGCTGTTGGAACAAACTTGTTACTCTGAATAGGTACTGATTTTTATCCCTCTCATTCTACCTGACAAGGTCTTGTCGCTATACCCTTTCTTTCATCACTGTGCCATCAGTAGAAGCTAAAACCAAGGACAATAAATACACTTGCATTCATGTTTTTCAGGTCTTTCTCATAACTCCTAACAAAGAATAGTCATTTTAGAGATTATTTAAAATACATCACTGTAATGCACTAAGAATTCTCATATGTTGTCAGTTTTCTAGAGTAAACGTATAGTGTGTTAAGCAAAACAAGAACAACTCAAACATGACCATTCACTGTACATGTGTACTAAAATATTTCTGATTTCCAGGAGTATTATTTCTTTACTTTCTTTGGTGTATTTTGCAGTGACTTCACAGGGAAAAAATGCAAAAAGGGTGCAACACAATTGTTTTTACTCTTAATATAACCTTTTAGCTCTAAGCAGTTGCATGTCTTAGTTTGCTGCAGAATCCCAAAATTGTGTATTTTAGTAAATGACAGCAGCTTTTCAGGTTGCTTTTTTAAAAACAAAAATATTCTAACTATCAGGTCTTTTAGGACAAATTGGAATTATGTTTAGGAGCTGTAGTATTCTGAGTCTCTTAATGTGGACAAGGCAAACCTAGCCTAGCCTTTTTTCTATTACAACTTTATGATATATTATCTATAAAGATAATTTAACATTTTAAAGATAATGTTAACATTTTAACAAAGTTGTTCAATATCACTGTTATAGACACATTATAACCAGTGATGATGTTCTTTCCATTGTCCATCAGGACATGATAAAACATCCTGTGCCTGAAAATAGAAATCCAAGGTGTTGTCATAAATCTGTAAGTTTGAAAATTGCTCAGAAATGGAGAGGGGAAGACTCTACTATCTGTTATTTATTATCTGCTATTTATTACTCAGAGAAATGTATATGATGCAGCATCTTAGTTTTTGTTAGTATTTCCCACACTATTCTTTATTCTTTATTCATTCTTTATTCTCATTCAATCTAGATTTGTGATTCCAGTTCTACAGACTTTTTTAGGACAGGACTCTGGGAATAAATATTGACATATTTGCAAACAAGTGACTGTTTTTCCCTGCAAAGACCAAACCTTGCTAGAAAGGACTATTAGCAGGTCCTTATGGGAATATTTTCTCAAAAGTCCATTTTGAGCAGGAGTTCAAAGGGATAGAACTGTATTGCAAGTCCCCAGTACCTCAACAAACAGCTTATTCTTTCAGAGGCAGAAGGACCTCCAATTCTGTATCATCAATCCCAAAACAATTTACCTTCTCACTGTTTCAGTGCCAAACAATGAACCTTAGCTGCTTGTGCCCATTCTCAAAGGTTCCTCAGTACTGAAGGTTCTTCTGCTCTTGCTGGGTCAGTGCTGTTCCCAGGACTGATCCTACAATATCATGCTCAGAATGAATCTGAAGGATGATTTCTGTCTTCCATTCATAAATTAATGTACCAGCGTAAAATCAAGACACTGATTCTTTTTTTTATTGAAGAAATTAGCAAAGAGCAGCAAAAATATTTGGAAGCCAGTTATTTGCCAGCAGGAGATGTACTATATAATTGTGTTGTTCTTGCTGATAGGTTGTTATCAGCAGGTAACAAGCATTGTTACAAACCATCTTACATGTACAGTATTTCATGATATAATGGATGAGGTATGTCTATAATGGTAGCAAAGAGCAATCACTCAGACACTGTTTCTACTATAGCTGCTATAAATTAAAAACTATATTTTAATAGCTTAACAATTAACTCTAGTGCTAATGGTCAAAAACTACCAAAAAGCCTATTTCCTGCCCACCGATGCATTGTTTTTTTAAAAGCCTGCTTTTACCTGTAGGGTAGAAGGTTTGACCCTATGGCAGTTAAAAATCTTATATCAAAATTGCACAATTTTGATGAATTCTGATGACTAGAAATTATCATTTATTTAAGGTGCCACTTTTAAATGAAAATACAAGTGAAACAAATTTGCTGGCTGTAATTTATTTTTGAGTAGAGGGATATTATGAATAGCTTCGCCAAAAATGTCTCCCACTGTACCTTTCCCTGGCTGCAGTCTCTGCTGGAAGTCTGCTAATGTCAAGTGCTTAGTAATTTTCTTCCCTACAGTTTTAAAAACAGATCTGGATGGTGTGGAGAAATTTGTTGTCTATGCCGGGACAAGGACTTGAACTCATTGGTAATTTCAGGTTATCATTTCCCACAAATTTTGTATGTGCAGATACAAATTATGGCAATACTGTTTTTGAGGTAATGGTCTTGCAAACAGCTAATCCAGTAGAAGACCCATTTTATGTAAAGGAATAAACAACACTGACAGGATTTCACTCCACATACTTTGAATGCCATATTAACAGTTAATATGCTGTTAACTATTAATAATACACTACCAGTTCTGTAGGCAACATGATGGAAAACCTCAGTGGCCTTCCTTGATACTGCTAGTTAAGAATTATAACACCTATACCAGTGGTGCCTACTTGTACCTCTGGCAAGTGACAAAGTGTCATTGTTTTCCTAGAAGGAGAAGTAGAAACCTTACCTGCCCTTCCAGGACTAGGGAGAAGTATTGCAGGAAAATGGAAATCTATGCTCCTGACATCTGAAAGTTGCAGCTGGTTATCGCCACCAACTTGCATGTAAGACAAAAAATGTTATCAGCAGAAGCACGCTCTTTCAAAAATAACTTATCTGCCTGCATAAGCCATATATCTCTCTCCTGAAGAGATTCTCTCTGCTGAATCTCACATGGCACGTACGACACAGCTGAGTTACAAGAAGCATACAGTGTGAGTTTATGAAAGGCAGATCCTGCCAAGCTAACCTGATCTCTTTCTATGTATGACAAAATGACCTGCTTAGTAAATGAGGAAAAAGTTATGGATGTTGTTTACCTGGAGTTTAGTTAGGCAGTTGATACTGTTTCTCACAGTTTTCTGGAAAACTGGCTGCTCGTAGCTTGGAGAGGTATACAGTTTGCTCAGTGAAGAACTATTTAGATGGCTGGGCTTAAAGAATTGTCATGAATGGAGTTCAATCCAGTTGGTGGCTGGTCAACAGTGGCATTTCTCAGGCTTAGTCTTAGGAACAGTTTTGTTTAACGTTTTTATCTGTAACCTGAATGAGGGTATTGAACGCACCCTTGGTAAGTCTGCAGATGACACCACATTAGGAGGGACAGCCAATCTCCTTGAGGGG